GTCACTCGATCAGGGAGAAAGAAAGGTCGTGAACTCGGTCTCAAGACAGTGAGAGAGAGGGAGAGATAGAGAGAGATTTTTTTTTTAGGGGTGATGAGTACAGAGAGGAGGAACCATGGACCTACTAAAGAATAATAGGTCCATGGGAAAACGGATGAAGAAAGACAATGACAGAGAGATGGAGAAAAGGAGAAAGGGAAAGAGAGAGGGGTATGGCGAGATGGAGCGAATGAGAAACTGGAAGAAAGGGACGATCGAGGTGATGGGGAAAGAAAAGGAGAATGAAAGGAGAGGGGAAAGAGATCAACTCATAGGAAGGGACAGGAAAAATATGGGCAATCGAAATATAGGAGATGCAGAGAGTGAGAGTAAGAAAGGGATAATAAGGTCAGAATTAAAATGTACAAAACAGAAGGACTATTTTGTAATTATGGAGTAACACGTATGAACCTAACAGTCATAAACCTGCATGCAAGCATAGCACGAGGACAGAGGAGGAGAATCAAAAGGTTGAGAGAACGGCGATGGAGATTGAGATGGATGAGACAAGATAGGATTAATAGGAAGAGGATGAGGAAGAGGATGTAGGCGGAGGAGGGGCCAGCCCAAACTCTATAGGCCGGGTCAGGAACCAAGACCTCATCGTGAGATCCAATTTCAGGTCGCGTGCCTTTCGTCACTAAACTGTCCGTCAGTTCGGACACCTCACTCCCTTGTGCTATAATTATTGTCCACGTGCTGGTCGTATATCAATCACCTCCTCCACCTATATTCCTCGATCGGCTCGTGCCAGCAGTCAGCTCGCCTGGTGTCGTGCTGACCGCATCACAAACCCAGTGGTGTCCTCCCTCGCACGCGTACCTGGTTTAAAGGGATAAGTCACCCATTTTGCAGGTGTATGACCACTGCCGGCGCAACACGGGGGTGGGAGGGTGGGATCGAGGGACGGAGGGGTGTTGTTTCTGTGCTCTTGTCGTCTATAGAGGATTCTTCCACGTACAACCAAATAAGTGGTTCCACAAAATAAAGAACCTACACAATGTATAGGGTAATTCGATAGGTAGTTCTGCTGTGAGTAGGCCTACTAATAGATTATCTTCTAATTTGAAAATTTGTTTTTCCATGTATCAAATACAAAGATCTGTTTCTGTACAAAGTTTTACATCAGATTACGTCTACGTTGTTACTGCATCAAAGAAAAAACTGTAGGTCTATCATAATACAATACGTTGCAGCCATGCTTTTATGTTAAACGTCTTCATGCTTTATTTTGAATGATATAGGAAATTGGGGAGGGGTGGGGAAGACAAAAAGAAAAACAAGTAGAGGGTTTAATTTGATCAGGAAAGGAAGGCTGTTTGTTAGTCCAGTTCGGGTCACGCAGGCAAAAACGATCGTTTAACGAGGCGCTCAATGCGCTCGTAGGCATTCCCCTAGTCTGTTCGGGCGATGTTTCGCAGTAATTCACGTCGCAGAGTCATCTGTTATGTAGCCAGTGGCCATTTTGAAGAAAAGAAACAGACAGTGAGGATAGAGAAATAGGGAATGATTAGATAAAGAGAGGGATAGACATAGAAGAGAGAGAGAGAGAGAGAGAGAGAGAGAGAGAGAGAGAGAGAGAGAGAGAGAGAGAGGGGTCGAACTCACTGACGACACGCGACTTGAATGCTTTTATTTTGTGAAGGGTGAACTCGTTTGATTTATGCACGCGACTGAACTGTGAGAGTAATTTGTAAACGAACATGGAAAAAAGGGCTGTTGAAAAAGCACACAGATAGTGAGAATAATAAATGAGTAGGCTTTGGATGGTGGCATGCTGTAAAGAGAGAGAGAGAGAGAGAGATAGAGAGAAATAGAGAGAGAGAAAGATATATATATATATTACTAACTTGGGATCAAGGTATTAATTTTGGCTTGTGGTAGACTGAGGCTTTGTTAAAAGTTAATATTGTGTGTCAAAGCAAGCTCACTATAGGCCTCTAATTTAAACATTAAAAACTGTGAGCACCTTTCCCACCTTTGTGATTTTGAAATTGGTGTTTGTTTGTTCAGCATTCGTTTCTGATGTAAAGAGCTGTTTAGTAGCATTTTTCAAACAAGTAATATTTAATAAAGTAAAATGGCCCTGACCCCGCATCCACCTTCTTGTTTAAACAAGTAATATACATAAAGCTAAAAGAATTTTGGTGACATTATCATGTATTGTTATGATTTATCCAAGATAAAAAAAATTAAAAATCGTATGATGAAAATTACCTAAACAAAGAAAAACGTAATGAACTGCCATAAGTTCATATGGCCAAGTAGCAAAGAATTACCAACAACATAACCTTTTGAATAGTATTTTACTGGCTTATAGGTTCACATGGCGGGCACTCTGATTTGATTACATACGTACTTTAATTTATGGTATCATATTTAAGTAGAATAAAGAGAGGGTAATTCATGTTCATAGCATTTAACATAACCCAGGTAGACATAAAAAGAGATCAAGTTCGAATTTCTAGACGCAGTATAAATGAATAGGCTGTACTTCGCTTCACCTCTCAAAAAAATATATAAAATAAATGTACACCTACTCTATGTCTACAACAATTATGCCTGTAACTTTAGGATTTGGCTTAGAGTATCATCACAACAAAAATGGAAAGGCTCTCTGGTGTCAACAACACGACCAATGTAATTTGCTAAAATTTAAAATAACAACAATACAAATTTAAGAGAGAAATAGGCTCTTTTTAAAAATCTTCATGCGGACAGGGTGGATTCCGAGGCAGACGACAATACAGACAGACCGCACAGTCACAATCGACTCTCAATTATCGCGACAAAAGATTACATAGTATCGAATTTTTATCACATTGCTATTTCATCCCCTTTCAAGATACATGTAAATGTACTCTGCTATGCACACTCGATAGACTGAGAGGAAAGATGGATAAGAGGGGAGAGAGAGAGAGAGCCTGACATAAAATTATGACTTCATGTAGTGTACGGTTTGTGTGCACAGAAAATAATTATTGCAGTTTACAAAAAGGCGCTAAGAAAATGGACGCTACAAATAAAACTGGTCACGCTTTGTGCGTTTTTGAAATTGGAGTCGATTAGAAAAACACGTTACAGCTCTCTGTCGATGTCAATTATTATCGAGGTAGATGATGAGTTGCCGTTATACTGTATATTTCCATCGTCGGGGCAGTGTGAGGGAGATTTATGATTCTAACCACGTCAAATCGGTTTTAGAACATAAATTCTAACTGAAATTCGATATTACGAAAAGTATTTTAACTGAGAATTAATTAAAGTAGTCGATTTTGTCATATCACTCATGTGACTAATAATAAAGCGATCAAAGAATTGTATAACTGAAAAATAATAATAATAATCTACTTATGGTACTGCATGGTAGTAAATGTACTTACTTTTATGATTTTAAAAATGGCAGTAAAAGCAAATTTCGCTTTATTTGTTCATATCTAAAAACCGAACTAAAATGAAAACATCGGTATTACTATTAAGCATGGTCGGCGTAACATTAAGGATACCCTACGGTGCCCAATTAGTGAAAATGACAGAACGCTGCTATTACAAGGACACTAAAACGATAGATGGTAGATATGAGTGGATACAGGTCGGATAGTGAGAAAAAGTATTATAGGCTCGTTCCGTATGAATTACCACATTTCTGAACACCATTAGTTAATCGCCATTCGGTATAGTATGACCTTGTATAGGTTGTAATTAGAGAGGTAATCAACATAATCATAATTGCGTGATCGCATGTCTTTTTTTTGTATGTGTTGTCTATTTCATATCATAATGGGTTGGTGCGGACTGCATGGGGTAGAGACTAATGATGTCCCTTTCTGGGCATGCTGATGAAAGAAATTTGATATACGTTCAGAGCACAGTTCCTTAAATTCAGTCTAAAGCGGGAAATAAATTCATTCCTTCAATTTTCTTACTTTCTTATAGCTGGAGTAATATACCCCGTCATAATAATACGTTGTACTTCAAAAAATATATAGATATAACTCTCATAGGACATAAGTAGTGTATAATTGATAATGGACTATAGTGTAGAAGCCTGCAGTCTAATATTGTTTCTCTATACTGCGTAACCGTGAAGTTCTACGATGAGTGTAGCACACCAAACAACACTAAGATTGTATACATGAAGAGATTCATTAAGAAGAGATTCATTAAGTAGGTCTTTTAAAACCGATTATAAATATGACTACGTATCATCACGAATGATTTTCTTTAACTCATCTCGGCTATATCGTCACTAGAGGTCGCATTATGAGCCCCCTAAAACCCATCCAGTGCATAACCCTGTTCACCACCACCACCACCACCCCTCCGCCCATGTGCACCTCCATCGAAAGACCACTTCAACATCATCAGACCTCCCTTCACCTTTAAAGACGCGTCCATGACAGTTTTTATTCCTGACTCGACTGGATTTTGCTGTCCATACGCTGGAAGGTCTCAAGCCATGTTTTTTGCCATGCCGAGAAATCTCACATTGTACGGGCAGCAAAATACAATCCAGATTCGCTGTCCATACGTATATTAAGATCTTAAATGTAGCATGTCTTAGCAAACTGATGTGTCACATCGTATGGGCAGCGATATGTCACCTCATGTTGCTGTCTTGACAGTATGAGATATGTCTGCGCGCTGCCGAACGTGATATCTAAAACCGTATGGACAGCAAATTAAGGATAATCGACTTAAGGTAAATAAAAACTGACATGGACACACCCTCACATTACCTTCACAAGAACCAAGAGTACCATGCCAAAAAATAGGAGAAGCAAAAAATGAGGGGACGTAAAGAATACAAAAATACTCTCCCTGTGTCCTGTAACTATTTTGTCCGTAATTACATGCACAATCCATTACATCGTTAAGCATGAAGAGGACATGGTGTATCCTTATAACATCTGACTCATAACTGCATAATTATTTTTGCATAAAAAAGGCAGACGACTTACCCATAGGGCGATGATTGGAAAATTGCCGTCTGCTGGAACGGGTTTCCTGCAACATTTCGCATGGCCGCTAATGCCCGGATGTCAACTATGTAAAAGAGAGGAAAACGAAACGAACATTAGTGAGTTAGATCGTTAGTAAGATCCATAGATAATACGAATTCAGTGTAATAGCCTTAGGGGCATGCAGATAAACATTCTGATGCAGGGTGGTGTGAAACTGTACAATTTGAAGTAGACGAGTGTCAGTGGATCTATTTAATTTGCTGGAAAGAAAAGAAGAAAAAAACAACTAATTGTAGCGTGCAATCGATATTTGATCCGCAAACCGGTTTAGGACTCCCAAGACAACAAAAGATCCACAGACTTCGTGAGTCATGAGAAGTGTTACAGTGTCTAGTAAGGATTCTGTGTCGCCACAGGCTTTGGGAGATGCAATCAAAGAGAATGGAACATTACTGATGAGTTCCATGATTACTAAAAGGGATGCTGAAAACACGGGGACACAGCCGTGCACAGCATGAAAAACAAACTCTTTATGATGAGTTTTGCGAAGAAAGCGCGGGTATTGATGGTATTATGTGAATAGCAGAAGTTGGGAGCAAAGTAGTCAGTTTTTAAAAGCAAGAAATGGTTCTTTGGTATTGCGATAGAGAGGAGAGATACAGACTTTTATACTCTTTGATTCTAAGCTAAATCTGGTGACAAAATGAGAAGCTACAAATATGTGGATGAGCCCTTAACGAAAACAAGTTGGCCCAGAACTCTTTAAGTGGTAGGAGATTTCATATGATACAAGAATACATAAGAATACATGTTACGACTTTTGGGAGACATTAACAAGTTTTGCAGTTTGTACTTATCTGCATCAGTATAACGCTTATATCAGTTCTCCAAAATGTCAATAACATCTATTAAAATTCATCAGATATCACTATACACTACTTAGTTTTGCTGGCAAAATACAGGTTTCGTGGAATGCAGTCAGATTAAAAGAACGAATTGTCCTCTTTTTACTTAGTGGTTTCTTCAGATACGCAATTATGCATGTAACCTGACGCTGGTGGTACGCACAATTAGATTCTTCAACTTCGCTTTTAAGTACGGGATTAGGAACTGGTAAGCTAGGGATACCATGTTTGACAACAATATACGGATAGCTTGTTTTGAAAACTGTTTACGAATCGCAACGCGTTCACAGAAGCGGAGCAGGGAAAGTAAGAGGGTAGAAGCGAGGGAAAGAGCGGGCACATAGACGTTTCCTTTAGTTTTCTGTTTTTTTTTAATTCTCCTCCATTTTATTTACTCCCTCCAACAAACATTCCCATAGTTGATAACGTTCTACTTTCCTTTCATAGGAGAAATTCGAATTACAGTTTGTATTGGCGGGTACTTTAGACTGTGGCGGCATTCAAACTTGGTACAGTGGGTGAGCTGTTCAGTCAGCCAAGCTACAATAACAGCGTATACGAATTACGGAACTGGTGTTATTATGGCCAATGTGCTAGTTACCGAGTACTTCTACTGATATGCTAATACAAAGTAAACAACTTCCACAGATCCCCCTCCCATATTTCTACCTCTTACTTTATAATACAATTTACAATACCTTTTTACTTATTGCAATTCTGTTTTGTTTGATTTTGACACGCCTGTCAATCTTAACATCGAATATTACCTTCTCATCTTACAACAATATCATGATAATGTGTTCATATCTAATGAAGAGATGAGGGCAAAAAGAACACACTCATTACTCATACAAATTAATGTGCAGTATTTCCTTTTCTTTTCAGTATTGTCTGAATATTATGTCGATGATATATTATCTCCTGGTGTATTGGGAATAGCCCGCCATTAATCTCGATGTGATTGATACAGTTAACCTCATTTCTACATCTCTTGAGAAACAAACAACTTTTTTAAATAGTTAACGTCCAAATAAATACCCATTTCCAGGCCTTGGAAATGATCTCTCCACTTATCCAGATTGTTTTCATTGTAGGAATTCTTGCTTCAAAAACACATTAGGATCGATGGCAAATTGGCTGATCACTTTCAGTGCAGTACGTTTAGTACACAAGTTTGTGCAACCTTCCCACAAGCATTTGAATGTCCTTCCCAGTGCGCTGGTCCATTGGACACGACCATTCGCTGTGTTTGGGGATGGTTGACGAAGGACAATAGGGGAAATTACTCTCTCTCATGGGTAATTAAACTATGACTTACGTACCCGCGTACACACCGAAGTGGTTCAAATGAAAAGAGAGTGTGCGTGGGTTTTGGGTGTGCGTGTGCGTGAGATAGAGCGAAAAAGAGAGAAAGAGGAATGATCAATTAAAAAGACTGATTCGCAAATGCGTAACAAGTGAGATATCCCCCCCCCCCCAAAAAAAAAAAGAAAAAAGAAAAGAAGAAGCTACAGAACTACTGCTAATGATATTTATATAATTATGGTATTGTTACGGAAATAAAGGACAGTTGTATTTGTAGATAGCGACAACGATGGGAAAATGGTCGAATTGTGGAGAAAGCTGACATTTGGAATTCATATTTAAAGCAGAGCTGAGAAGGCAAAGTAGTATTATGTGAATTACCTGTGCCAGCAATAGTAGGAAATGAGAAGTTTGAATGTTATAAATAAATGTCAACGAATATAACATGTAGAGTAATAAGCTTACAAGGCCGAGTATAACAGAGCAATAATACCGCCATTAACATTTTCAAAAGACATAATGCTCTTAGCTAATTTGAGAAATAGGGCTGGATGTATAAACGGTGGAATTAGAGAGAGACCTTGATGTACAACTACTGTATCAGCTATCTTTCCATCTCGGTATAACGACGATCACACAATCAAGTCACATGCGTGCTTCTACTCCACCAACATTAACGGAGACAAACAAATGTATCGTGGGGAATGTTCTTAATATTACGGTTGCCATGCCAATACTGCAAGCATACCACGTAAATACCGAGATAGCTAGTCAATGGGAATCCGTATAAAAACAGGCAATGTTGGGAGTAAACATGAAGGAAATCATAATCTTCCTTTAGCCCCGTGTGCCAGAAATAGCTCCCCTGGCCATTCAGTACAAAATGGGTGTCTTTACGAAGGCGAGGAGCTCTGGTATTATATTGGACGGAAGACGTAGAAGTGTCACAATAGCTCCTGAAGCAGGGTATACGTTATATTGTCACCGACTTACACGTTATTTTCTGGAAAGCTGATACCGTGGAGCTGGTATGTGGCCCAAGAGAGAGTAAACATTCGTGCATATAATAATGTGCAGCATGTTATATCATGTGCCACAATTTTGTCCCTTTATAATGTGTAATAATAATAGGCAGAAGGTCGAGATGCACACATACGAAAGGGCGGATCTAGGAATTGTATAAGGAGAGGGGGAGGGGATGGGTGGGGGTAGTGTACTAAAGGTGTGCAACTTGGGTTTCAAAGAAGGAGCACTGGCTGAATGCGTCCACATCTATCACTTCATCCGCGAGTGAACATAAGTGCCAGATAGTTACTGACATGCAACGATTTTTTTTTGTTGGATTTTTGTTGTTGATTTTGTTGATTTTTTGTTGATTTTTTTTTTTGGGGGGAGGGGTAAAGATAAGATGTCAACATGATTTTTCTTTAATCATTCCTAAATTATGTAGAAATCAGCAGCTTCGAATGGCAAGTTACAAATTCATTGTGACCTCACGAAGTCTGCTCCCCGATTCTCACACGTCAAACGCCATGACCATGGGGAGGGTGTCGTTGTGTGCGGGTCATTTATCATCAAAACATCACCTTTTATCAAACAGGACGTATGGAGCAATAATTGCTCGCTATTTTAATCAAAATTCCAACAGATGGATTAGTAGAGCCTACACCGGAGCAAATGCCCGCCTAAACTGGCATAATATAGAAGAGAGATATATTAGTTGAAGTCAATTCGGACTTAAAGGGCAGTGGGATGGCACACATTAGCGGTCTCGGACCGTAAAATTACGCCCATTGCGTCCCAGCTGGCAAGGTGCCAAGTTCTGCCTGACTTCACAGCTGTCGTTGGCACTTGACAGAGTGCCTATCTGCCTCTCCTTATACGCCCGTTTTTTCAGATCATTAGAGCAGATAATTACTCTCAAATACATGTCATGAAACGAGGGCATTACAGAGAGGTTTGTTATTTGAGAGAAATATTCTACAATGAAAAGTGCACTTTTATCCAAGCAAGTTTAATTCGAATATCTCATTCTTATGAAATATTTAATTTAAAATTATCATTATTATTTTATTGATGTCTTTAAAAATTATACAATGTTTTTAAGATCGAAATTTGATGGCAAAATGCTAACGTTGCGTAATAATTCATCGGTAGATATTGGGTTCAGGAAATCATTTATGAAATTATTTTACCCGAACGCTAATCAAATTGTGTCATCATCGGGTGACGAAATCATGCGTACTCGTACAACAATAACAAAATCTTCGTGCACATAATTATTTACGATAAACATATTAAATGAAAAACGGGGGTTACTATAGAAACTTTGATGAAAACAAACTGGGGTGGAAGAATGAGTCTTTCTTGGAATGTGCCATTCGATCCGTCTGAAAGTTGATAGCCAAGAAACAGTAAACGGTTGATGAAGTCTAAATCTTGACCTGGCCCTTTTAGCTCTACCAATTTACCCCACCGAAAGACAGTAGATGGGACGAATGGGACACTACGCCCACATCGATACGGAAGACATAGATACCAGACGAGTCATAGACTTCTATCCAGAATGTTTGTAACGATTTTCCTTTTCATGAAACAAAACTCAAAGTAATGATAAAGATAATGATAGTGAAGATTTCTGTTATCCATCGAATTTACGGCAAAGATAAGATCTACTTGTAAGTAGTGCAATTTCATGAGATCACATTGCAAGCAAATTTATTAGGCCTACATGATTTAGAATACCAATGGGATAAGCTGTAAACTAGTTGAGATTGTTAGGTATGTTGTTTGAGTATTTTTTCTGCTCAGACTTAGAATAACTTTTTCTCATTCATAAATTTACATATCTTCCCTTTTAGCTAACTCTCGA